AGAGAGAGAGAGAGAGAGAGAGAGAGAGAGAGAGAGAGCGCTGACGAACAGGTTCCCATACGGTTATTGTTATTGGCACATCTGTTTGTATCTCACCGAGTATAGCCTGAATGTCAAGTTCACCGAGGGAAGCGGTTCGAGGCCAAAGTACACACACCGGGAAAAGCTGATGGCCTCTTACCCAGAGATTTTAATTGTCGTTATACTTAGATCGAGCACTGTCATGGCCGCCCATAGACTTGAATTGTCATTATACTTAGACCACGCACCGTCATGGCCGCCCATAGACTTGAATATGCAAGGCCCACCAGTGACAGGGCCCCATAAATGTGAATCTTTTTAATATAAGCTTCGTTCTTTTTAATCGAGCTCTTATCATCAAAATTTACTTCATTTTTTTAGGCGTGCTTTGACCCTGCAGTGGAGAGGGATAAAACATTCCGGGGGAGAGACCGAGATACTGCATAACTTTTCTCCCCACACAGTATTCGAACTTGGGTCTTCTGCGTGTGAAGAAACCGCTGCATCACAGATGCCAATCCCTTTCAGCATAGGGAAAGGTAATAAACAGAACCTTCCAGTCGCTACCTTAGAATTACAAAGTTCTATCTAGCATTTTTAGGCCGTTTTGAGTTAAGACAATGAGATCAGAAACCAAATGATGTTCTGTCTGCCCTCTCAAAATCGTAAGACTCTTCGGAGTCGTTATCAAGATATACAAAGAATTGCATTTGAAAAAAAAGCTGAACATATTGTGATACTCAAAATTGTTAACGTCAAATTTATCACAACTAGGTACTGAGCAGACAGAACTTTTTAATTCTAGAGTAGCCCAGCAGCACCCTCCAACCACCATCGGGTTTAATGACACAGTCTACCTACCAGTCATGACAAATCCGCCAACATCACGGCTCCCTCACAGCCCTGGCACACAGCCCTGGCTACTTCCGGCACTGAGGCCTCATCCCACTGGAAAAAACAAACAAACGATAAGAACATTTCACAACTTTAGTTTTGGCCCGGGTTGTTTCAGTCAAGTGAAGATTAAAGGTGTTACCATTAGAGAGTAATATACACGTAAATGGAGGAGAGATTTATTATAGGATGACAGATGGTGGATATAGGAAAGAAGGAGCAAACCACACCAGAGCACCCGCCAACCACCCAAAGGTGATCTGGGGAATTTTCAAAACTCTCAACAAAAAACCACATGAATACACACACACACACACACACA